ACTTTGTCTTAAATTAAAGCTCCAGAAACATTCTTATTTCTATCATTTTTAATTAAAACTGTGAAACACTGCTGCTTCATTTCCGACACTGGGACAACGACTTTCTCTTAAACTGAGAAGTTGTGTGAGTGGTTTTAATCTTGTTCCTCTGTTGGGATATTATGCAAAACCATTGTTTTTAAGGGTTCAATCGAGCTCAATATTAGCTGGAATATCTAAACCAGATTACTTTTCTAATTGGCATGATTATTTTTCTTTTTAAATAAAAAAATAAGACTAATTTCCCAGAAACAAAACTTTTGGACTTTTTAACAATTAAACACATTAATGAATTAATGTCTAAAGATTTGGAAATAATCCTAATTTCTCCTTTAGATATGTCTTTTGTTTGTTTTATAATGTGTCACAGTAATGTCCTGTAAAGTTCAAATATCTTTAGTTGGGGACTTTTCCAGGCAAATATTAATAAATGTGATTAATTGTGATTAAATCAGCGTATAAGTGCTGCAGGTATTATTAGATACACAGCATTAGTTTGTCACTGATGGTTCAATAATGCTTCATTTCAAATATTTATTACGTAATTGAACGTGATGTTGTTGTTAGGGTAATGCTTGGTTCAGCAGTTTGTTTCTGGTTGCTTACCGTAATGTTTGGACGAGCAGCGCAGTGCAAATGTTTTATGACGTTAAGATTGATCGTTGTTGCTGTAATGTTTGTGTAAGCAACCTTTTGATTTTCCATTATTGCTGCCGCCACGGTGGTGACTGTGTATGACCGGCTACTGTTTGCTGTTAATAACCCACTGTCTCATTGTGCACTCTCACAGTGATTGCTTGTCAACAACCGGTTGTTGATTTCATAATGCAAATTCTGCTGCAGTTGAAAGCTTCAAAGTTCAACTCCTGAGCTCAGACTCTTATTCAGTGCCGCTTTTGTATTTTATTGTATTAAAAACTAATATAAGGCTTAATATAAGGATATAATGAGGATATGACATGAGGTCAGAGCTGCTCTTTACACAAATAAAAGTAATTATAGTGGATATATGCACACAAATAAAGTAACAGCAGGTAATAGTTGTAGTAATCATATATAAAAGGGAGGTTAGAAGCAGAAGTGATGCATGAATTAAAGTGCAGGGTGTTGATATGTTCATAATTAAATTAATAACAAGCAGTGGAATTAAATTATTATTTAATATATAAAAATAAAAAACTGTTTTTACCAGAAACTGTAAATCTACCACAGAAACTTTAATATCATCAATATTATTTTCACTGCAATAAGAAAACATTTTTATAACCATAGTATTTATTTCAGAAACTATAAATAGGTTAAAGACGTAAAGAGTTGTTCCTGTAATATTTTCATTATTAAAAGAAGTCTCAAGTTAATTTACAGATATTATAAAACTATATTGTATTCATTATTATTATAAGTTGGGAATTCTTCATTAGTAATAATCCCTTGAGATATAAATTGATCACTAATTCATAGTTTAGAGTGATAGTATTATTTACATGTAGGTACAATTGATCCTAACATAAGAAGACATTATGAAACAGGTGATATAGAGTGAATATGTACAGATTATTCCAGTCGGAGCTTTAAACATGAAGGATTTCTTCTACTGCAGGAACAGATAAAAACAGCTGTGTAGAAACATTAGACAACCTGCAGCTGAATACGCACAGTAACAAAATAATACAAATAATTGCTGATTATTGATAATGTACAAAGATACAGTAACTGTCTGCCTCCAGTGATATATGGACCTGGTTCTTTAAAGAACAATACCACCATTTTAGGTCCAGACTGGCCTTATGTAACCCTTATATAAGTGGACAGTGTGTCTCCACGTGTCCTTAATGAGTTACGTTACCAGCTCCCACCCGGCGCTGTGTAGTAAGGTGATAATAAATACAGGCAGGTTGGCGCTCATGAGTCAGTGTGAGCCGCTGCTTTAAAGGCGTCCCAGCTGCTGCTGCGGCCGGGACGGGTCACCGCAGTGGGCTCCAGACCCCAGGGTTGTCGGTTTGAATCCCCAGATAGCGTCTGCACCCCGGCAACCTTTACTGTGACTCAGCATGAAGCTCCTCTGTGACTCAGAGCTTTGTTCAACCAGAGGTTTGTTCACGCTGCGGTGTTCGTGATTCTGTTAATGTCACCCTCCTCTTCCTGCATCATACCTCCTCCACTCACTCCAACCGTCGAGTTTCATGCTCCAGGAGAACCACACCACTTCTGTTCCTGTGGTTTGCAGCCGTCGCGGGAACGTTACCACGCTTCGCTCTATGTACCGCACGATGCTCACTGAAGGTTCAAGGTTACTTTATTTGTACAAAAATATAAAAACAGCAAACAGCTCAGACAACCATTATGAAGGATAAAGATAAAGGCTCTAAACATCAGGACTTACAAAGAGAGATCACTAAAAACACACTAGAATAGATAAAAAGAAAAACGAGACGTCATTTAGGGATTTACTGCTCTGCTTTTTATTAGTTCACACAGTTGCACTGGACGAAGTCTGTTTCACTCAAATCGACACATTAAATCACGATTATCTCCTCAAACTGCAAACTTTATATGCCCCCCAAAAAAATGGGATTGTACCATATGGGAGACTCGTGATATCTTGAGGTCGGAGGTCGTTGCATCACCGAAATTAATCCTTAGTGGAGGAGTAAAGGGGACAAAATCGGTGTTCTCTTCATTCTGTAATAACCAGACTGGATGTGTTTTGTAATTAATTATTGGTGATTATTACAAAATAAACAAACAAATCAACAACAATTTAGACCAAATCTGACCTGGACAATATCAGAATCGGTGTATCTTAGGAGGAAGAGCTGGTCGTTCACTAATCAGAAGGTTGGCGGTTCGATCCCCGCCTCCTTCCGCTGTGTCCTTGAGCATGATACTGAACCCCACATTGCTCCTGATGCTGTCAGTGTGTGAATGAGTGAATTTTTGATGATCACTTCATGCTCTTGCACCGCTATATATGTCACACCTGCTCCCAGTGTATGAACCCCCCCTCGGATCCTCCAGCATGAGTCCGAGTACAAAGTGCAGGACTGAAACCTTCTGGTGAGGCAGCCGTTGGTTTTAATGCCCCGAGTCGCTGGGACAGTTCTGGAGGAGCCCGGCTTTTAACAGAGAATGGTTTTTAGATATTATTTACCTCATTTTATTCTCTTATTTTATCATATTTCCTTGTAAATTTTATTCATTATTTATAACATTTTTCACAGAGTCAAGGAAACGTATTCATGATAATGACAAAGTGCTTTACATTCACATAAAAGAATATCAGCAATAAAATCAGATTAAACCAATATATGAGGTCAGAATACAACCAAAAACACACCGATAATCAGACACTATTAAAAAGATGAAACACAGGAACAAACAAACAATTATACAACACACAGGAACAAACAAACAATTATACAACACAAGGCTGATAATGAAATGAAACACACATAGAGCATCTTAATCTATTTGATCCATTTTTTAGTATCAAACAAAGGTGCTCTACAAATAAAGTTTGATTGATTGATTGATTGGTAAAAGCCTTTGCCATCAGTGTATGAATATGGGTGAATGTGAGCAGAAAGGTGCTATTTAATTACTTTCAGGCAACCTCTGACCTTTGACCTCCCTCCTGTTGGCGCCTGTTGTCTGTCGCTGTGAGCAGCAGCAGCAGCCCCCCCTCCGCTGGCCAGGACTGCTGTGTATCGGCGGATCAGATGTGACTGCGTGGGCGGCGATGAATGTGATAGGATATGAATGTGGAATATCAATTATGATGAACGCCGTCCCCGCGTTATCTGTTCCGTCTCCGCGGTGACACGTGTGGGCGGGTCCCGGTCGCATGGTGGTAACGAGCTTTCGGTCGTAAACACTGACGAGGAGACGGAGCCGGTGTTTGTGTCAGCAGTAGACGGATGGATGGACACATAGATGCTGTTTGTGAAGCTGATGATTGAAAGCTTTCTGAATGTTCCTACTGTACACCCACTGTCTCTGCAGACCTGTGGATGTGTTACATCTCTCCAAATCACAGATTCAAGACAAACAGTAGTTGTAGTTACATAACCACCCACCTCCTGATTACTTGAGGACTGGTTGGCGTCTTCAGAATCCTCTTATCCTCCACTGCTCTTTAATTCCCAAATATTAATACAATAACAACCGCTGACAGTTTCACAGCACATTCTCATGTACAGTTGCTATATGTGAGACCGAGTTCACCAACAAAGACAATGAGGATATGGAATTATAATGGTTTATTAATAATAGGACGATCTGATACGTATGTAGATACATGAGCTACGATACGATTCAGGGACGATCCATTTTAATATGAAACAATTCTGTACAATGCAGTCTGATAAAGTTGTGGCTGGAAAGTGTTCAATATCTTGCATGTTGTTGCTTGTGCTAGTTGTATTAGCATCCACAGACTCCTCGTCGCCAGGTGAGTGTTAAGATCTGTCGTGCTACCTCTGATCTTACACATGGACAGACTTTTGTCCAACTTCCCGTCCTTCTTAAAGAATCGAATGTTTTCAAACGTTAGATTTTAGATATGAAGGACTGAAAATCCTGTCTGCGCTGTCGTCGAGCCATGCTGCACTAATGGAGACTCTGTTAGCACCAAAGCTTCAGTCAACAGATTCATAACTTTAGAATCGGACCATCGACCGGATCATGGTACATTTAGATCGATCCAGGGGTCTGTGGATAATGTTAAAACTGATTTCTGACTCGTATCGGTAAATCTTTAAACCCCTATTTATTGAATATAATGGATAATAAACTGTAGCAGGGTTGGAGGGTGAGAGATGAAGGGATCGGGGGAGAAATCATGATTGTGGCTGGATGAAGGAGTTTGGAGATGGGAGGGAACCATGTGTGAGGTTGAGCCACCTCTTCTTCGCTCTAGAGCCCGAACCTCACTCTAAAACTTCATCGTGTGTGTGTTACAGAAAGTGCCCAGATGGGTTTGACTGTCTGAAGGCGGGAAGGAACCCCAACTACGGATACACAAGCTTCGACACCTTTGGGTGGGCCTTTCTGTCGTTGTTCCGCCTGATGACACAAGACTACTGGGAAAATCTCTACCACCAGGTAACGTTGATTCAAGGGTTCGGTCTCAGAAATATATACAAATAAATAAATTGTTGTATTATATCAGTCAGTAGCCGTCACAAGATGAACTCTTTTGCCGTGTGTGTGCCTGCAGACGCTGCGATCGGCCGGTAAGACCTACATGGTGTTCTTCGTGGTGGTGATCTTCCTGGGCTCCTTCTACCTGGTCAACCTCATCCTCGCCGTGGTCGCCATGGCGTACGAGGAGCAGAACCAGGCGACCATTGCCGAGGCCTGCCAAAAAGAGAAAGAGTTTCAGGTGGCCATGGAGAGACTGAAGAAGGAGCAACAGGTAAGCCGACTTCCTGCCCACTCCTGGATGTGAGGATAGTTTTGAAATGCAATAGACAACATGTGTGTCGGAGAATAGGATATAACAAATAGGCGATTTGAGACGGGGATGCCGTACCGAGGTCAATAACCGACCACGACTTCTAACCGATAAATTATTGAGAATTATAAATTGTTGACGTAGCGTTTCAGTGTTATTGATGCACTGGTTCAACACTGGTTTGTTTAATTTGCATTATGATCATTAATTGTCAGACATGGAGTTAGAAAAATAAGAAAATGGGAAACAAGCTACTAATATCAATCATTTTATTTCTCTAAAGCTCTGTTTGGAATTTTATTTTTTAATGGAGACATTATTGTACTCATGAATGAGAAGAGAACATTATTTATTCATTATATTTGTATATTTTTTTGTATTTTAATACGTTAACATTTTGTTTGGCTGCTAACTCGACCAGGTCTCAATTTTGCTTTCACGGAAAAATAAACTAATTAATTCCTCCAGTTCAGTGTGAAAACTGACAATAACTATCGCTGGAACATTATTGAATTTTACTTTCCAGATGTTGATAAAACTACTAGCCTACCTCAGTATAATGACACTGAATCATAACGTGACATCAGACATTATAACTGAGCCTTTTTCTCTTGCTCTGCAGAAGAGTTTATATCATTTTGTATTTATTTACGTGCAATGTTCGAACTTCGAACTTCCACCAGGTCTCCACCCAGAAAACTGTCGACTCGGACTCATTGATGTCACCAGAACTGTCGCCGTTTGGCCTGCCGTTGGACAGCATGGAGGAGCGGAGGCGTAGTCAAGCGCTGGTGGGAGTGGGCGATGTGGAGGCGAACCTATCAGAGGAAAAGCTGCTGCAGGTGGACATGACGGACGGGGGGAAGGTACGTGAGGGAGAACCTGGCCTGCGTTGTATGGTTTGACAGTAACGCAGTCAACATGATGTTTCTTTATGTTCTCATCCAGCCTCTGCATCCCCTCCTCGCTCGCTCCTTCTCCACGAGGACACGGCGAAGCAGTCAGGTCTCCTCCATCTTCAACTTCCGTCTGAGGAGCCGAGGGTCGGAGGGCGAGATGGCTGACGATGAGTACAGCGTCCCAGGTGACGTGGTGGAGGGCGTCGGGGGTCGAACCTACAGCGGGGGGACCTTCAGTGGGATCCTGCCCCACGCGTGGCCCAAACGACGGCCGAGCACCTACAGCACTGCCAGCAGGAGCTCTCAGGTGAGTCAGCAGAATGAGATCAGACTCTGCAATTGGAAACTTCACCCCAATGTGCCACTAAAGTGGGTCCCAACCTTTTTACTTAAGGGAGTAAACTGATGCAGACCAGCTGATAAACCGCTGAATGAACCCAAACAGTGAACACAATAACTGCAGGAAGATTGTGGAAAACCAGAGATTTGGATGAATTTTAGCTTTTTTTTAAAGATTATTTCTTGTGAATATTGATTTTTGAGATTTTCTGATATTAACAACAGACTTAATAGGCTGCTCCTTCATATTTGATGCCATTGTTCTCATACAGCTTGCGTTCAGTTCATCAAACTTTTGATATTCAATAATATATTATTATTTTAACTTTAACATCAATAATTTTAAGTTACAAAAACTAAATTTTGTAAGTTAAAAACACTCTTAAGTACTTTTTACTGTCACGTAAAATAAATAAAATAAAGTTAGTTGATTAAGAATGTTTTTTAACAAAATTGAGTTGAGTTTAACTTAATCATAACTAATAAAATTTTTTTAGTTAACTTACAGTGTCATCTAAACTTTAAAAATAACAGTTTTATTTAGTTTTCTTCACAGAAATGAACGAAATGCTGAGATAAAGACCGACTGTGTATAT